AATCATTGAGCCCCTCCTATTTATACTTTATATCAATGACATAAGCACTTGCTTCTCACACGGGAAACCATTCATCTCTGCAAATGAATTGAAAGTATTTCTCACATTCCAGTGTGACGACCTAGGGTACTTCCAGAACGTTGTGCAGAATGAACTAGATAAAGTGACTGCTTGGTCATCTTTTTGGAATCTGCGATTCAGTCTGAACCAATGTGGTCGGATCTGCTTCGGCGTACTCTCAATCGGCATAAAATTAGCACTTCAATCTGCTAACCTTCCTAGACTCCGAAGTGTCGTTGACTTAGGCCTGAGCTACTCCAGTGACCTGATATTTTCTGAACATGTGGCATCGCAGACTCGAAAGTCGAGGATGCTCTTAGAATGCATACTCAGGAACTTTCACGACAGTGAAGCCAAGCTAATTTTATATAAAACATGTGTCAGGCCATTACTAGAATACTTTCCATTTATTATTAGCAGCACTCGCACACGTGATAAGCTAAGGATGAAAAGTATCCAACGATATTTCACATCCAAACCATTTGGCTACGATTGCAAGAAAGACTACATCTCACGCTGCATGATTCTAAATCTTGACCAACTTTGGCCGAGAGGACTTATTACAGACCTAATATTCTTCTTTAGGGTCCTACACAAAATATCATTCTCAGATAGTAAGGACGAACAATTCTTGGTTGAAGGCTCTTACGATCTGCGTAACCAGACTTGCACAGAGATAATACAAGCCTTTGAGTCATCACTCCGCAAAAACTTCTTCACATTCATGCATTCTGAAATATAGAATAGTTTACACCTAGGAGTCAGAGCCTGTTCCTCGGTGGTAAGCTTCAGACTCCCTGTATACAGAATTTCATTCAACTGACTGCGTGAACAACAAGAATGAACCATTCGTTTCCAGAACGAATCAAATATCAGGATCACTAAATGTTCAAAGAACGCGCAAAACCTCACTAAATACTGTGCATAAGCAATGCAGACACTGGTCGCATATGTGATCCAAAAGGCTAGTTGAACATCAATATATGTGTTCATCAGACTGCAGTGTACGATGGATATAAAACATGTATATTTGCAGACGTTAAGGTTCTGTCCGTGTCCACATACCTTTTTTCTGGTACTTTCATACCACACCTTCTCTTCTATTTGACTTGTAGTAGAAGTTGCTCAGACCTACAGTAAAACTGAGGTGAAACAGGACCTGAAGCCACTTAATTAAGTATACCACATCACCTTCCAAGCTGTTGGTTCGTAATAAGCAACATCCCCAAAATTTCCCGTGTCACCATATCAGGACTCTGAGTAACACTGTACGAGCAGTATTCGTAACACAAATTGAAGATGCAACTGGTTTACAAATAGTTTTATAAAGTTTAATCAACTAACGCGCACAGAACATTGTGTAGCTACAAGTGGCGGTAGTGGCTGGTTTTGGTGCAGTAAAACGAATTTGTATAGCTATAGCCGATATTCGTATACACGCAGTAAAATTCTCGCTGATTTTACCCTACACTCAGAAAATCATACAAGTGTGCTACTCGTTCAAATTTATGTAATTTAAATAAAGCTTCTTCATGCCTGTACAACTGTTGTGTTTCTACATAGACTGGAATGCATATATATTTATCGAACCTCGGACTATGTGCATGGACAGCAAGAGTCCCAACCACCGTGCCACCAACTCACACAGGACAATCATATAACTAAAGAAAGTTCAAGGCTTCACTAATTACCCTGTATAAAGGATAAAGGGGCTAGTTGCGTAGGTACATAAAACTCAGAGAATATCAACATATATGTTTATTAGATAGAAATGTACAACAAATATAAACACATATATATGCTTCATTGATGTTCCATTTATGTCCATGTACTTTTCTTTTTCTGGTCACAGTCCAAGCCTAACTGCTTAATACCTGTTGCTAATGAATGAACTAAGCCGTCCTAATAGTGGGTCAAGTATTGCTAAGGAATTCAGCTTATGTATCAGCAGCGAATGGTTGACGCGGTCAAATGTCGAAGTAGATGCCAATTACTAGTTGTCTCCTGTCACGACTACTGGTCACAAAATTAACGAACGACAGGTTAGGTATGATCGGGACTTTAGGAACACATATTGGTTAAGACTTATGATTGTCACCGATGAAATTTATGTTTCTCGGCCACAGTTTGCGATGGTAGACCACATTTCCAGGTTTTACTGAAATTACGGGGCTATTTTCTCTCCTGATGTGAGCAACTTTTGAAAAATCCTAGAAGTTTGAAGGTTGCTTGCGTTAGAGCTGGGAATTTCCTCAACTTGTGGACGGATACGCAAAGAGATTGGGGCAGCTTTAATGGGCAACTATTACAAGGCTTCAGATTTCGTGCGCCTGATGATTACTTCCATTATGGGTAAAATTTGTTTTGATAAAGTCTCATTTCACCTTGGTATGACTTTGAGCAATAAATTGTGCTCGAAACATCATCAGCAAATATTACTGTGAGACTTCATTAGAATGAATTTTACCCATAATGGAATTATGTGCGTCGGTGGCACAGTGGTGAGGACTCTCGCCGACCATGCACATGGTCCGGGGTTCGAGCCCACGCCGGCGCACACCTGATATCCATGGTCGGCCTGCAAAATTTGGGCTACCGATATCCATGCTGAAAATTCCATACTTGTACCCAAAATGCAGTGTGGAATCAAGCTGTAAATCAAAAATAAAAATAAAAAAATAAAATAAAAAAATGCTCTACCACAGCGCACAAATTGTATTCTTATGCTGATGGTTTCCTCCCCTGTAAGTTGTTGATCCCGGGTATCCGCTGTTCAGTCATCTCTTTCCAGGAGGTCTACGCCAAAGACTGATTTGCCCAATTTGGATACAGAAAATCAATAAAAGCTACTGCTTATGCACGGGGTTAAGGGTAGGAGTTTTTCACAAGAAAGTGGCGATTTAGGTTTTAATGGTGTTCTGAAAAGCGAGATGAGTTTCTGTCGTCCCGAATAGGCCCTTGGTTTTAGTGTGTTTCTGAGTGCACCTCCCTTATTAGCCAAAGAGTTTCATCTCTATCCTTGACTTAAAATAAGTGTCTGTCCGTTTTCTCTTCCGACTGGTCGCCATATGAGGGGGCTTATGGTTGCCCCACTGCTTGTGAAGAAGTTTTGTTCAGACACGTATTTTATTTGTAACTTTGTGCGCCAAATCAACGGAGATACCAACAAAGTTTTTTGGTTGATCTGATTTGTCTAGATCTGCTCCTTTCCCTGGAATATGTTCATTCGATAGTTTACCTGGGTTGCTATATGTTAGCTGCATTCGTGCCAGTATTTCAACTAGTTTTTTGTCATCAGTTAAAGGTTCTGAGGTTGTTGGAAGGTAGTCACTATTCACCTGCCATTTTGTTGGTCGTCTGCTTTCCAGTATTCGATCTGTGATGCATACCACTTGTTCAGGAGAAGATATAGGATCTCGAGAGTCTAATGTTCATCGTATTTTATCCTCGTAGGGTTGCTTTTACCCGGCCGTGCTTCAGTCTTACCTATGATTGTAACTGAAAGAGAAACTTCCACTACTCCCAGATTGCTGCAAAGAACTACTGCAGTCAACACAAGGAAGGAGATAGGGATCTTCAACCAGTATTATTTTGGTACTTCTCTCCTGTTCAACTACTTTGTGCGCGTGTCAAGAAAGGCAATCAAATATGACAGTATATTTTACAGCAAATATGCTCCCGTCCGGCGAATATGCAGAGGGTAATTAAGGTGACTCCATATATGTTAAGAAGACCATTTAAGCCACTAACTATCAGGTCGTCAGTTGAAAGCAGGGTCAGAAATGACGCTTCGGGTGTGGGTCCGAAAGTGACTCGGGGAAGATCATGTAAGGAAGAAATTAAAGCATAGGATCAACGGCATATCCATCAGAAATATGTAAAGTAGAGAGTGTAGTGGAGATGTATTGCTGAAGATCAATGCTTCAAGTAAAATCCGAAGGACAAATAAATAAATACATGCACGACAAACCCTATGTACGATCACATCTTGAAGTGCATTATATCACACCCTCAGTGTCCACTGAAGTGACTCGTGCTTCTTTTAGAGAGTGAGAATAGGGGCTATCAGCACACAACACATTATTGTGGAAAGCTCGATACCTCACAATTAGTTTATAGGTGACCTAATCGCCGCCTATGGGATTGTAAACGATTAGAACCCAATAAACGGAGGGATTCCGCCACAACATCTTTGCAGACTTCTTCACGGTAGCGCAGGAATGACCGCTGATCGGAGAACAAAAAATGCAGTGCTTTCCTATCTCTTTCTCTTAATAGCTTGTACCCAGCAAAACGCTTCAACAATAGATGTGGTTTCTGTATTATCGGTGAAAAATTATTTGTAAAGGCAGGGTAATCATTCGAAAACACATGGACTGTATCTAGCCGATTGTCAAAAAGACAAATTTGACACACTACAATTTATTTCTCACTTAAACTAAACTCACTGTCCCCAAAGTAACTGACACCTTCACTCAGCAATTTTTCTGAATATTTCGCTAATTTACTTACTGTCATCTTGCATTATACATTCCTCTAATCGTGACATGTTTGCAAGGCAAATATATGAGTTATTTTAAGACAGATGTGCTGCGCCTTGGCCTCAATACACTTGAGTAGATTTAAGGGAAGAGTCATATTACGGTTTCAGTCCCCTCATTTAGGTAACCTTTGAATTAGGTATTCATATCAGATGCTAGACTTGGTCGTTACTAGGGTGGTTTACTAACTCTTTCACTCATCTGGAATATATGTTTTTGTTATTATCAGCCTTGATTTTCTGAAAAGCTGTGGGGAAAATTGTCGGAACAGACAGCATAGAAGACCGCCAAAGATCGGAAGTGGCTAATCTACTGCCAGAAAGCAAGCTGAAATAAATCAGTTTGGTTTGGACTAGCTCATAAAAAGTATATTGGACATTGGATGTTGGCGCTGTAAGTGGGCTTTGCGTTACATTTCCGCATTGTAGTGGAAAGATTTTGTACAGATTAGCGTTAGTCAATGTTTCGCTTTCTTTTTTAGCAGGCAGATACTATATAGCAAACTGCCTGGACAATAAGATATAACAAATAAATGTCGTAACCCTCACAAAGACAATAAAAGCTGTAGGATTCCATCACCGAACATTTTCTAATTTGATCTGTATGGAATAAACGTTCTCTGGGTATCTGTAGCTATGCTTTCGCTATCTGTTTGTCTGCTGTTTACAGTACGAATGGTTTTGTCATTATGTGTGGTGTAATCTTATAACCTGCATATTTACATTGCACCTAGCTAATATACCCTTTGTTTCCCAAAATAGCATCTCAAAATAAATGATTGCTTAAAACAGTTCGGTAACGTTGCGCGTCTTGTAACTTCACTCACCCACAGGTATCAAGCAAATAGCAGAAATTTGACGTTATCACGTATTATTTCCATATTATTATGGGCGTCGGTGGCACAGTGGTGAGGACTCTCGCCGACCACGCACATGGTCCGGGGTTCGAGCCCACGCCGGCGCACACCTGATATCCATGGTCGGCCTGCAAAATTTGGGCTACCGATATCCATGCTGAAAATTCCATACTTGTACCCAAAATACAGTGTGGAATCAAGCTGTAAATCGAAAAAAAATCATAAATCAAAAAATATATCCACTTAAAGGGCGACTAAACTATAGCATCCCGTAACTGATGATTTTGGCGAATTTATGTACAGAACTCGATTTAACCTGACTATGAGGACTCCTGTGAGAAATATACACAGGAATATCCTATGTAACCACTTTTTAACATTGCATTTTTTGTAAATAGACGTTTATTTCAAATTATGCTCTGCTACTTCCTACGAATCTGATTAGTCGCTAGAGTTAGTTTCGTTTTGGGCTCCTGCAGTTTAGAGCCACTCACCTAAAGTTTGCGAATATGTATATAATGGTTAGGGATGTATAACTCATCTGGACCTGTGCGTCGGTGGCACAGTGGTTAGGGCTCTCGCCGGCCATGCACATGGTCCGGGGTTCGAGCCCGCACCGACGCACACCCGATATCTATGGTCGGCCTGCAAAATTTGGGCTACCGATATCCATGCTGAAAATTCCATACTTGTACTGAAAATACAGTGTGGAATCAAGCTGTAAATAAAAAATAAAAAAAAAAAAATAAATAAAATAAATGACGTTGCATTGCTTAGCCGTAACCATTCTTGGGCTCGATGGCTGGAGGGTTTATAGAGGCTTTATATGACAGAGATGACCCTGATGTTGGGTAAGTGACAAGTTCCTTATGAAGAGGTATTTTAAGAAACTGTCTGTCTGTTTTCGACATAGAACTTTGCACAAATGTGCGCCAGTTAAAGTCGCCACACTCCGTGTAGCACGCGAAGCAAGAGAGGAAAGTACAAGAAAAGCATAATAGAAACAGTGAGCAGAGGTGTGAGACAAAGGAGTAATAAAGAAAAACAAAACAGTTTCATTGGAGATCATAAGTCACAAGGAGTGGATGCATCTGCGCCACTGAGAACGATTTTGAGCCATGTCACCAATTGTTTCCAACCATTGATTTTTACCGTCTCGAGGACCTCAGCCTGGAAGTCTACACCTTTCTACGTGGCTTAGACCAACTGTTGTGAATTTCACTGACTGGTGCAGCCAAGTTTTTGTTTGACCGCCGCTAGCTTTTTTCCAGCCTGACCCTATATCCGCTAACATTGCTCGTCGAGGGAGGCGATGGCTTGGCATACGTAACACATGTCCTAACCATCTCAGTCTTTGTAACTTCACGACTTCGTCGATTGATTTCCCCTGTTTACCTAGCACTCGACGCCTAACTTCAAATGTTGCTCACCTTATTATGCCACTTTACACGGGAAATAGAACGCAGGCACCTATGATCAAAGACAGCTAGCTGGCGTTTTCATATCTTCCACTCTCAGTGGCCAGGTCTCACAACCATAAAGGAGGACGAAGCGGACTGATGAGCAGTACACCCGCCCTTTGGTCGGTAGTCGAACATCTCGTCTACGCCAGAGTCGGCGTAAACTGGCAAATGCGAAACGAGCCCCCTGTATTCGTGCTGAGATTTCGTCAGAGATCAGCCCGTTGGGGCTGATGGTACTTCCCAAATAAATGAAGCGGTCAACGTGCTCTACCACTTCACTTCCTATTTTTAAACTAGGCGTCGATGTAGTCCAGTCCTGTAACATCATCTTGCATTTGGCGGGAGCGAATCGCAAGAAACTACATGTACGCATTCAGGAAAACAACTGATCGGGCATAAAGAGACCTCCCTTCTCATTTGGTTTCTCATCAGTGGCTCTACACTGATGTATTGATATATATATATATATATATACATACATAATAATATACGGTTTTACATAAAAATTATACCGGTCGTGTGCTGATGTTGATTCATCGTTATCGGTTTTACTTATTTACTCATTCTAGCCCCTTCCGTAAATTAAAACCGGTAATTAGTAATTAACATCAAATTGTTAGGATAAATTTGATATGAGATTGTATATATCAGTTGATGAAGAGCTAATTAAAACGAAATGTATTTCCTTCGTTTCGACTATCGAAATGTCGAATGTAATTGTGTGTATATGTAAAGCGGAGCATGTGATGGCTATGAACTAAAGTAATAAAGCGGTTTAGATCTGCAAGTGGATACATGTTTTCTGTTCACACAAATTGTCTTACACTGTAACTATGCAGGACCAGTTTTGGGTAGTGTGCTAATTTTGTTTCTTTCGGATTTGAATTTTGGCTTGGTTATATGGCTAGTCTCTTTCTCAAGCTAATTCTTCTGGTTTCGATACTACCTAGCATCATATAATTCAAAAGTTAGTACATGTGTTAAAGGTGTTAGTTGCAACTTGTATATTGAGTGTATAGCACCTAGATGTAATCAGAAAACAAGGCTTATATACTAAAGTCTGTCATTCACATAGGATTTCCAGTAGACTAAACATGGTATGTGATTGAGGGGGAGTTTTGCAAAAAGTTCTTAGGATCGATTAAGACATGCTTTACTCCATACTGACAATATTTTGTATAAATTGCAGCTCACCACCCATTACCTCACTAAAACTCTTTTTTCTACAGCTTCTTATGCAGAAGAATTGGTGATCATCTCTCACCTGTGTGCACTTTCGGAACATCTGTAACTCAGCAAATCAATGTATAACTTCTAAAATTTGACAAGTGGCATGAGACTGAAGATTTAGTTTGTATTATCAAATCTACCACTGCAACTGAAATTGCATCACTTCTGTTATTCATATTTAAAATAAATGAGCAGCAAATTTAAGAAACACACACGTGCTTATCACGGAGAGTCTATTTTATCCTATTACATTCGAGACAAAAACTGGGAGCAAACTGTAGATTTGACTGGAGGGCAGACATGCGTATCGATCAGTCAAAGTGTTTCAGCAGTCGAAATAAACCAAAAAAATGTCCATTTTACAAATGGATTCCAGGTTTGTGAAATAAATTTGTCTAAAATATTAACAGATACATCTATTACTGTTGATGCTTTTCGTTATGGTGATATTCCTGGATGCACTTGCTACTTTCTCTCCCATTTCCATTCAGACCATTTCAGAGGAATTCACAAGAATTTCAAGGGTCGCATTTACTGCAGCGAGGTATTGTCCAATTTTATGTGGTCTATATTTTTAGGTAACAAAAAATCTTTTGAAAGATACTTATGGTCCAAACCTAGTTATTAGTGTTCTTGAAATAGAAAAATGCACGAAAATTTGTGATGTTGAAGTTACAGCCTTCGATGCAAACCAGTAAGCCTAACAAAGCAATCGCACTTCAGTTTCCTTTTTGTGTAATTTTTTTCAAATTGGTGGGCTTAGAAAAATTGTTGAGTTTTAGAGTTACACCTATCTCAGTAGGATGCTGAGTAAGTTTAAAGAGTATAATTCATAAATGCTGATAAGTTTAATTCATAAACATGACATTTAGATTTAAGAGCAGGTGTGAATACCTTGTGTTCCCAGTGAGTTAGTAGAGGGCGAGGGAGAGGAGTAGTGAGACTTTTCTGTCCAAGTGTAGTCATTTTAAAATTGTATATAGGTGTATTCAGTTGCTGCAGTTGTTTCAAGTTTGTTCCTGCTTTTTACATAGGTGAATGATTTGTAAAGTCTTCGTGTAGTTATCGAGTACTAAGCGTATTGATAGTAGTTCTTTGGATATGTAGTAAAGTCATTAGAGTAAGTGACACTATATTCTTGCATATTGTCATTCCGGAAGCACTTTATCAGCAAGGTGGTTGATATTAGACACAAATGTTCTGTATGTTATCCTGATTTGTATTATCAGATATTTCAAACTGCAACTCACAGCAGAGATAGAAATCACATTAAAATCGTCAAACATAGGTGTAAGAACGGAGAGGATAAAATAGTAAGAATTAGTGAAAATATTTGGGTTTCGAAGACCATACACGCTTGCCATAATTCCATCGTCATGAGTGATTGTTAGTCATATCACCAGGATTCTTCCTCAGGGGAATCTCAGGAGTTCGACGACCACAAACAGGTGACGTGTACCTATCTTCAAGGTTTCGACTGTATGAACCAGAACTATGTTCTAATCTGCTCGTCCTTAACCCTTTTCTAGCTCAATGGGCTGATTTCGACCTTCTGAGAAGGAGATAAACTTAAGTAACAAAATTGGCGGTAACGACAAGTAATTTTTTTGATATTGTGGTAATTTTTAATGAGACACTTTGTTTTCAGACTTACTGTTAGTAGTCTACTGTGAAATATGAATACAATAAAGATTTCAAAGTTATCTTTCATTCTCTGGAAAAGTGAGCATAATGGTGGAGTGAAATTGAGTATCGTTCAGTGATTTGCTTTACAGGATCTGTAAAATGGAAATTTCAGTCGAAATTTGATTTTGAAATGGGTTTTTACCTTTGACTTGGAAAGTTTTTCTTACTCATTATCCAAATATTCCATTTTTTTTACAAAGTTGCTTTATATACTCTTGATTCTAAAATGCTGGGGTTATTCTCGTAAAAGTCGTAAACGTGGACTTAGGAGATGTTTCGTAGTAGCATGACAAGGATAAATCTTGCGGAGATGAAAATCATCATGAAAATTATAAATGTGAATTAATTTTATGTAGTAGCACATTTCAGACTATAACACAATGCAATATCATCTATTCACTTTGCCCTCATTAGCTTATTTTAATTTCTTTGTCTCAAAGTCCCTTCCGATGAACTTCTCAGTGGTATATTGTCGTGTATTTACAATGGTGTGTTTTCTTCCTTTTACTTTGAAAGTTGTCCTGGCTCCTTGATGTTCTTGTTTCATTTACCGTCAAAGCAGAAGACTTATTTGCACACTGGTGACTTTCGTTATACACCAGAGATGTTAATTCTCCCTAGTTCGCTGACAAACTATTTAACCAATGATTGCCTTAAGGATATGTCGTCGAGAATAGATTCGGTGTTTTTGGATACGACGTAAGTTTTCTTTCTATCCTGTTTTGACTAATTACATTAGTAGTATAGTTTCTATTGTAACATTACTATGAACATTAGAAGGCTCAATTTCATTTACTTAGTCAATAGTGTTGTTTATTGTTTATTTATTTATTTAAAGCACAAACTTGGTACATTATGGGCACCAAGAGATGCGCCAGACAAAATAATAAAGCAGCAATATATAAAAAAAATAGAGAGAGAGAATGAATCCAGAAAGTGAGCTAGCGTACTTGTGAAGACCATTCAACATAAATCACCTCATGTTACTTTGAGAAAGAGAAGAGGAAAACAAATTACAGCAAGTTCGCCATTAATTCCTATTTTCCGTCACATCTGATAAACTTTTATACTAACGATACGGATTATCTCCCGGACCTCAACCAGGAAATTGTGATGTACCGACGGATGCCAACCCAATACGAATGTCCTTCATCCCACCGCACCACTTAATGGACTGGCTGCCTCTCCGTTCTTTCCATCGAGTCCCAGAGTTAGCCGACAGCGATTGGATACGCCCACCTTTGGGACAACACTCACAGCACATGTCCGATTCACTGAAGCCAGTGTTTTCAGTTGACAGTACTTAATGGAAGATGACCTCCACCGTGTCTAAACACGCGCTTCCGGACCTCAGGATTGCTTACACGATGACACCATTGGACACAAGCAATTCTACGGAGGTGGCGATAATTGAATTTCCAGAGTCGCCGCACATCCTCAGCTCTGAGAGACCAAGTTTTAGAGGCGCAGAGCAAGACTCCGCTCACCAGAACATTGTGGACCTAACCTTTGATATCACGGCGGCGCCAGAGGTGGTCCAAATTAACGTATGCCAACCTAGCTTTCACTGTGCGATCAGGGATTTCGTTCGTCACATCTCCGCCAGCATTCATATAACTACCTAGATACACGTACTTGTCGACAACACCAATCGGGTCACTTGCAAGGCTGATTGCATGTACAGGTTTCTACCTATTTTGCAACAGTAATTTTCACTGAGATGGAGGAAAGCATATACCTTATTTATAGACACTAATTGTTAAATGATTAAGTGCGATTCAAACAACCTGCATGCTGTCTCATGGTAAAACGATGTGGCCTGCACACTAGACGTTTATATCTTTCTTCAGAAAGCAGATCTACACTACCATTACACACATCCTTCAGAACTAACTCCTTAATGTCTTCGATAGTGAAGTTAAACCATAATTGTTGGCTAGGAACAAAGGTAATAGCTAGCTATCTGCCTCACTCTACTCGATGTTTTTCTGAATCGGGATTTTAGGATGTTGACAAACTTCTCAGGAGCACATCTCTGTCAGACAGTTCCAGTGAGCAGTTCTGTCTGACGAATTGAAGACAGCTCTGATATCAAGAAATACAACGATTGTTGGTCAGCAATAGTGTAGCTGTGTTCTAGAAACTATCAAAGGGTGAGCATATGATTAATGCATCAATGGTTTGAAAAAAATCCAACCTGCCCCTCGCAAATCAGTTCCTCACGTGTTTTGCACAGCCTGCAAAGCAAGACAGCCAGTTTTTTAAATGCGATTGATAGCAAACTATTATTCCTATGATTGTCATACGTATTACTTAGGCTATTTTTAAGGATTGACACAGTGACGGCCTCATTCCACACTGATGGAATATTGTCACTTTCCCATACCCTCCTGAACAACAGTTCAGTTAGTGTCATGACGAGAATCTGGCCATCATCTTTAGAAAGAGTCGTGGTTGGATTGTCTGCACTGAGTGCCTTGAAGCGTTTCAGCACTTGGAGTTCGTTTTGGACCTCCTGATTGTTAATGGTATTGGAGTTTTTCAGCCAGACTGCCTTCCGAAGTTCTCTGCCATCGTTTGAGCAGTTTTTTCTAGAGAATGAACAGCATCCTTAGGGACTCCAGCTTCAGTGAGCAAGGCAAAGAGAGATTTGCCTTTATATATACTATACTATATTCTGCTGGCGAAATAAGATTGTACCTAGTTAATAGCCGAAAGCCAGGTTGGTATCAGGGAAAGCTTATTTAACAAAAGGCATCTAAGTACTGACTCAAAAGTAGATGTGTAGTCGACGAAGGTACAACGTACATATATGGACCCTTGGTCTGTGGAGGAAACAATGTTATAATGTAAGAAAGCAGCGGTAACATCGAATGTACTTCTGACCTATTTATAATCAAACTGTTGAGGGTTGTTAAAACTTTTCAAGGTTGAGTAGAAGTAATTTCTTCATCACTTTCAAAAAAGGAGAGGCAATTGCAATAGGTCTAAATTTGACACTAATTTCAGAACATGATTTGCGTCCTGGGATAATTTCAGTATCTTTCCATGCTGCAGGTACGACACTCCTGGAAAAGAAAGCATTGAAAATGTTTGTAAGAGGATCAAATAAAAAGTCAGCACATCTTCTAGGGAAAACAGCAGGTACATCATCAGGGCCAAGTCTTTGGGAAGGTTTTACAAATTTCAAACATTTGAGAAAATCCACAATGTTAATGTGTAATGTGAATGTAAGGGACTGTTCATCGTGGTGTATTTTGATGGTTGGTTAGTGTGATGTTTGCACTGGTAAGAATCAACAAGTGAGGTATCGTTGCAATTAACTTTAATGACTTTAAAACACAATAAATGCAAATAACTGGTATTTGTGTCTATGACTAGGGCTTGCTTGGTTTATTTGATACACACATATTCTTAGCTACAGTATTCACAGTTTTTCATCCATTTGGTAGTCAATCCCGGCATATTTTTGGTTTTGTTTTTTACCTTTTTAACCTGTTTGAAAGTTAGTATTGTGATGAAATAGAATGTATTTTTCTAGTAGTGAAATTATTTATATTTTGTTGAATTCAGGAAAATGTATGATGAGCTGTTCCAATGAAATTATGTCTTTACAAAATAATAATAACCGTTCAGGACAGAACAGTTTTCTTATTATGACCATGTTTAGTCAATCAATTTCATTATTAGTGCGATAATTTACTTTATACTTTGTTCACCCTTAGGTATTGTTTTTCTCAGTATGACTTCCCAACTCAAGAGAAAGTAATTGAAGGAGCAGTAAAAATTACTGCTGAATATCTGACTAAGGATCGTACCACCTTAATTATCTGTGGAATGTACTCAATTGGCAAAGAACGATTTGTTTATGGTGGGTGTGATTTATGATTGTTTATAAAACGTTATCTGTGTATTCTATTACTCTGTTAATTAAATTAAATTAATAATGATATTTCAAACTTGATCAAGTAAATTTAGTCTCTGTTATGGTGAATCAAGTCAATCCTAGATTTACAGGTTCACTCGCTGACTTATATTGTTCAGCAAAAAGGCTCTTTTAGGTGAAATCATTTAGTTAGCTGTACAATCTCGATTATGTCTAATTCTCTTTGTATTTATGTCTGTGTGAATTCAGTCTGTCAAACGTAGCACAAGAATAAAAATTAGTTTGGTGTATGGCTTGCTGCATCACAAAATATTTCAAAGTAATGATGTATAATCAGATTGCAACTAGGAATCAGGGTGAGTCTAGACTAAGGTTACGTCATATGAAAAGTTCAGAAAAATAGATATTATTGAAACAGCATGGAGACTAGTATCAGAATAAATTATATAGTAGGTGAAGAGGAGGTTATTTGAGAAAATAGTGTTAATAAATATCATAGAAAAAATGCAAAAATACAAAATACTGATAGCTGTTGAACTTGGAATTTTATCCAAGATAGAAGAAGGAAATGAAGGAGTTTCTTCTGTGTACACAAATCCGAATTTTTTTTACCCGGATCTCTAAATCTTCGGCAATGCAAGTTTTACGGAGGCATACCGTTTCCAGGAGGCTTCTTTGTACTGTGTAGACTACTTTCTGTGATTGAATCTGTTGTCATTACCAAACTTAATTATGAAGCAATAATTATATATACTACTAGTGAGTAGTCGAAATTGTGTGGTAAAATAGTCTCTTGGGAAGTCCCGTATTCGACACACCAGGCTTATAGGTATTATTTTCAATTTGTCACATGTACACTTCATTGGCAATACTAAGCGAAAACTAACCTTCTAGAGTGCATATTCTACATGAAGCCTGAGCATTCACATGTCGTGTAAACATTTGTTTTTTTTTTTCACTTTTTTGCTATATGACATCACACTATCGTGGGGGGGTTACACTGGGATTTAAAGTAACAAAGTTGGTTAAGTGTACTTTTCATTTACACTAGAAATGGTAAAGCCATGAAAGAATCGGGATTTACTGTCAATGAAGAGTCGACTGAAATAATTACTTGAAAATGAATTTTGAACACATAACACCTGATGTGGCTTAGCAATTATATTGGCTATGATTTGAGTGTATTAATGTGTAACAGGGATGATATATATATATAAATATTAATATATATATATATTATATATATATATATATGGCTCACTGACTTAAGTGGTGAGCATTACCTCAATAAGTCACGATTTCAATTCATGCTGTACTTGCTTTTGTCTAGGCACGAGCTGTAACACAATCGGTGTGGTTCATAGCCTAGTACATGTAAAATCTATCTCGGTTGTCTAAGTTCATCATATATGTATGTATATGCTCCTATCATCGTAATGTTTTATTTGCATTTTTGCAATGTGTCTCTTGGAGTTTGTATTATGCCTGTTTAATACTTAAATAATTGCAATGTATAATAACACAGTTGTTTTCATCAATTTTATTTGATGGGACTCGTTTTGCATTACTGATGTCTTTCATATACTCCTAATTTTAAGGGCGTAAATTTGTGGTAAATAATTGATAAGAGGTGCGTCGGTGGTTCAGTAGTAGAACACTAGCCAATCACTGAAGTGGTCGGGGGTTCGATTCTCGGCCGGCGCAATCCTTTACCTCCCTTTGTCAGTAGTAATCTAGACAAAGAAGCAAGGTTGGGCATGAGGCTAGCAACCCTACCCCGTGAAAATACATCACTGTTAATAGAACTTCAGAGTTCTGGCTTGAAGCCGTATGTTCCAATAGAAACGCAAATGAACAAAATAACATTTTTTTTAACTAACAAGATAAATTCATATGGATAATATATCATCATTTTACTGCTGTTGGAAAACAAAGATTCTTTTATTATAAATTGCAGTGCATTCAACTGTTAAGATAATTTCACACTACTAGCTGCACTCATGAATAACAAAAATATTGAAAAGCGAATTTTAGAATCTTCTGTAAACTGTCTGTCTGTTTCCGACATAGAACTTTGCACCGATGTGTGGCAGTTCAAGTCGCCACACTCCCTCCATGTAGCACACAAAGCAACAGAAGAAGGTAGAGGAAATGCATACTAGAGACAATAAACTGAGGTGTGAGACAAAGGAATAGAAGTAACGAATGACAATGTAGTTTCATTGGAAATCATAGGTCACAAGGAGTAGATGTATCTGCGCCACTGAGAACGATTTTTAGCCATATCACCAATTGTTTCTAACCATTGGTTTTTACTGTTCCGATGACCCCAACCAGGAAGCCAGTTTACACCTTCCTACGTGGCTGGTTTAAACTAACTGTTGTAGATTTCATTGACTGGTGGCATGTTTTTGTTTGACCGCCACTAGCTCTTTTCTAGCCTGACCCTATGTCGGGTAACATTGCTCGTCGAGGGAGGCAATGGCTTGGTATACGTAACACGTGTCCTAACCATCTCAGTCGATGTAATTTCACAACCTCGTCGACTGATTTCCCCTCTCATATACCTAGCACTCGACTCCTAACCTCAATATTGCTCACCTTATTATACCACTTCACACGGGAGATAGAGCGAAGGCACCTATGATCAAAGACAGCTAGCTGGCGTTTTCATGTCTTCCACTCTCAATGGCCAGGTCTCACAGCCGTAAAGAAGGACGGAGCAGAGTGATGAGCAGTGCACGCGCCCTTTGGTCGATAGCTGGATATCACGTCTACGCCAGAGACGGCGTAAACTGGCATATGCGAAACTAGCCCTCTGTATCCGTACTGAGATTTCGTCGGCGATCCACCCGTAAGGGGTGATGGCACTTCCCAAATAAGTGAAACTGTCAACGTGCTCTACCACTTCACTCCCTATATCTAAACTAGGAGTCCAGTTCTGTAAGATCATCTTACATTTGGCGGGAGCGAATCGCATGCCAAACATTCGTGGATTGCAGCTGAAGGTGTTCAGAAAACTATAAACTGTTTGTTTTATTGATACAAAAAAAATAATTCTTCTTCAGTAGTTAACGTGTGTGAATCACTTTGAATTGCATTTATCTCATTACTCTTAATAGCTGTTCGATTTCTTAAGAGAAATTGCCAAGGCACAATGAACTTTTACTATCCTACGAAATTCGCATGCTTTGTCATTGTTCTTTGCCTATAGATTGATTGACAACTGTAATATGCTTTAGAAACATTAATATACTTGCGAATTTGTCACTACTTTTGTTATTACAACTAGATGGGTTGTTGGTATTCGTCGAATACGGCATTATTATTTTTTTTACTCATCCATCTCCTGTCTGTCATTTGAAAATATTTTAAATAGGGTAACATGATTACCCCATAATCTTTTTGTAAACAAAACACAACAAAAAAAAGAAGTTACTTCAAAAATTGAAAGCGTGAAAAGAAGAGGGGTAGAGTGTGAATGAATGTGAGTGACGGGGAGTATACTCTAGTTATTCCTACTTCAACATGTGCCTTGATATTATGCAACGTGATCATTGTGCTATAGTTATTATCACTATTGTTATTATTGTTTGGTTAATTTCGTCTTCGTTACTTTTTATTTTTTATTACCTATTATACAACTCGCCTATTCACAAGCGATTACTATTGTTGTTGTTTATATGAGTTTGTGTGTATGATTCAGGCAGGCGTACAGTAACACATACATTCATATGCACACAGTTATTATTTTCATTAGTTTTTTTTTCAATCTTTCTCTTGTCGTTGATTGTTTACTCATTAATGTATGTGTGTGAGTGTGTGTGCAGTGTGTAAATTAATATTCTAGGTGTGTTGTACAACAATCAATAAGCGAATTACTACCAATACCAATTATTTAGACTTAGCAGATACAAATATTGGTTAACTGATATTGGAAAATGTTGAAATAAAATTATTGTTTTTTTAATTATTTGTTATATTTTAATTCTGTCAGAATGATTAGCTAGGACCGACAGCTTTATGATTTTTTTCATAATATGTGTCTAGAGATTACAAGTGAATGTATTGTACTAGAATAAAGCACTGTACACTACTAAGTACATTTTAGTGTGCTTTATGATATTCAATACATAATATAATGTTAAGATTGAGCTTAGACAAGTTAGAATGATTGCGTCTATGACATAGAGTTTTGAGGCTGTGAATGCCTTGTCCACCTACTCCAGTTCGAATTAACTGGGTAGTATCCTCAGTCCTCTTACGATAAATGTGAATAGAATATACAAATTTAATTTAATTTGAGATTTTCCCGTCGATTGATTGTACTGAAGTGCTCGGTCTCAGGTTGACATGTCGGCTTCTTGTACCGATGCTTCGACTATGTCTGGGCATTTCATTAGAATTTAATTTGTGAATGGTGACTAGCAGTGGAATCCAGGATGCGCATTTTGTCCTATTTGGGACTCAACATGTCAACCTGAACCGAGCACTTCGGTCCAATCAATCGATGGGAAAATCTCAAATTCAATTAAATTAATATGACCCGTTTCACAAGAGGTGGCTCTCGTGGCCCAAGTGGTCTAGTGGATAACGCTTTGACGTCTGAAACTAAGGGCACTGAGTTCGAGCCTCGGTGGGAACATCATAACTCACTGGGAAATGCAGGTGCATCCAGTGACGAGTCCCAAATAAGACGAAATGCGCATCCTGGATTCCACTGCTAGTCACCATCCACAAATTAAATTAGAATATACAAATTATAAGACAGGAAATGAAATCACCAATATTGATTTACTGTGGCAGATATATTCTTGAGAGCTCATATTTTAAAGTCATTTTAATTGTATTTCATTCTTATGTTGGACGTGCGTTGGCAATACATTACCGTATAGTAACTAGACTGCATTTAATCTCTTTACAAATAAACTTGTAGTAGATAGCCATATTATATACTAATGTGATAAAAAACAGGATAATAAATT